GTAGGCAAGTGTCCAGAGACCGAATAGACATGTTACCAAGTCGAGATACTTCTCGAGAGCAATTGGATTTACTTTCTAGAAAACAGCCTTCAAGGGACCTGCTAGCATCAGCTAGACAAGCTTCAAGGGAACAGCTGGACTTTCTATCCAGAAGATCTAATTCCAGAGAGCCTCTGGACACAGTGCCTAGCAGGCAGCCCTCACAGGACAACCTGGGGAGTCTCTCTCGGAGGCAGCTGTCTAGGGAAAGCCTAGAGCCGCTGTCGAGGAGACACCCTTCTAGGGAGAACCTGGAGGCCATTCCCAGCCGACATCCTTCCACTGAACAGTTAGATATCCTTTCTTCTATCCTTGCTTCTTTTAACTCCTCCGTCCTGTCCTCAGTGCAATCTTCCAGCACGCCTTCAGGCCCCCAGACCACCGCCACCCCCTCTGCCTTGCAGACCTCAACACCCTCCGCAATGTGTCCCTCGACGCCTCGCTCTGCCACCTCCCACAGCATTTCGGAGCTGTCACCAGACTCAGAGTAAGTGTGTTCCTTCCTTCCTCAGCCAGCTCTTGTGCATTCCTCAGCTGATCTTGTGCATTGTCCACCTGCTTGGCTTCTTCCCGAAAGGGGTTTGGTTTGGAGGGAGAGGGCTGTATAAGGGTGAGTCCCCAGGGTGAACGGCATTTATCTCCTGGTCCTGAACAGTGACTGGGCAGGGAGAAGCTTCAGGTGTGACAGCTCTGGGTGTTTGCAGTGCAGCACGGGCAGGAACATCTGTGTATGTGAGTCTACCCACTCTGCCAGAGACAATGGCCCTTGCTTGTGGCCTGTGGGGATTCGGGGACGATGCTCTGTGCAGCCAGGCTGGCCTCATGGCTGGTCCCCTTGGTCAATGCTGGCTCTAAGTCCCAGTGAGTGGAGGTATGCAAGGGCCAGGCTGGCTGGAGAGGAGGGAGCCCAAATCCTAGGGGAGCTCTGCCTACCCCAGCCATGTTTCTCCCCAGGGACCCTGTCCCATTCTGTCATTTCTTCCCCTCCAGCTCTGGTCCCTGCTGGTACTGCTGCTACCACACCCCACCGCACCTCATCCCTCCTTTCCTCTTCCCTGAACTCAGGGACTTGGATACAGTTGTTCCTGCCCTGACATGGGAGTGAGTCTCTGCCCTGTCCCCATCTGGCCTAGCAGGGGAAGGATGCTGGAGCCCAGGGGAGATGCCATGTCTTAATGCTGTTTTTCTTTCCTCTGAGAAGAATAATGAGAAGCGAGGGCCATTCCTGAGGGGCCGAAGTTGTCCAGAAGAGAGATGGAAGAAGCAGAGCCCTTCGCCAGGCACTGCCAGCTGAGGTTTGGTGTCCCCAGGGGGCAGGGGCCAGAACCGATGGTGGTCAGAGGCCCAAAACCAACCCTGCCTTCCCCTGCCCTGTGGGCCGAGGGGCCGGCAGTGCACACCACCCACTGCCAGGAGCCTCCAGGCTCTCAACTGCTGCTGTGCTCCCCATCACCTGCCCGGTGTGACAGGTAGTACTGGGCAAATCCAACCCGCCAGGGCTGAGCTCTTTCTCTGCGAGCTGTTTGTACATGGGGTGTGCCTGTGTGTGTGTGGAGGGTGGGCGGTGGCAGAGGGACAGAGATGGAGCCCAGGACGTGGGAGCAGGGGAGGGTTTTCTACCTTTTTGTATCTTTGTAATCAGAGAGAAAAGAAATTTCTATGGTTATTTTTACGGATGGTCTGTTCCCGGGACCTGGAGCATTTGTTTCACCAACAGCCCTTTACCACCTTCCCTGGGGTTATGAGGACCACAATCCCAGTGGACTGGAGAGACAGTGCCAGGCAGTCCTTAAGTCTTTGTTGGCACTGCTTTGCCCAAGCCGCATTGCAGGACAGCTGGCCCTGCTGCCCCCCACCCTCCCACTGTGCAGCTCCACATGTGTCTTGCCACCCTCCTCCTGCCTGGTGTCCCTCAGCCCCATGCAGCCAGGCCTCCCTCTGCCCTCCCATGGAACCCTCCCACTTGGGGCTGCCCCACCTCGGTGAGGGGCTGTGTGCCAGTGAGAGCACAAACGAATGGGGCAGCAAATTCAGGAGTAGGGACCTGCTGGGGAGGAGACAAGCTTTGCTGTGCAGCCCTGTCCTGTACCAGGATGGTCCCAATCTCATCAGTGCTGGTTACCTCTGTTCAGCAAGGGAGCACTGTGTTTTTACCCACTGGGTGTTGTGCTCTTTAACCTGGATGTTACAAAGCAAATCTCTGTTGGTTTGTAGGTCCAGGCAAGGAGCTGGATGACCCTTGTCCTGCTCAGCAGCAGGCTAGGCTATTCCCAGAGCCAGTGCTCCCTCTGCAGAGGATTAGCATCTGCAGGAGCATGATGTGGCTTCAGTCTCAGGGTCCAGCATTGCCCACAACAGTTGTATCTAGCTGTATCCCTGGGAGCTCTGCATATATCTGCTATCCTCTGACTAACAGAGGACCCCAGATCAGAGTGGCCTGGATTTTGGGAGATGGAGATAAACAACACTTTGCCCTCTCTGGAAATTCAGGTTGCCCTGATGGTGTCTCTGCTCAGCCTGGGGCCTGGCCTGGGGCTCCTACTAGCCCTGCCATGAAGTAACACTCCTTTGTGCCTACTCCAGCCTCGGGCCAGGGCATTTGGCTCAGGGGGCTGGCATGCTCCCTCTCACCGGCTGAGCGTGGTGCCTCTGCTCAGCCGCCCCGTGGTGCTCTTGGGGCTGTGTGACCGTGTGCCCCTTACTGCCTTACTGCCACACTGCCGTAGCATCTTACTGTAGCCCAGCCTGACATGTTTACAGAAGAGGACTTGTGCTGCTGTCCTCCAGGCCCCTGGGGAAGCCAAGGCCTCTTGGCTACATCCCAGAGTCAGTGGGAAGAGCGCAGAGGGAACAGAAGGGCTGGTGACTGGGGAGGTGCCTTGGCCCCCCGGCACAGCCCTGATGAGGCAGGCTCACTGTTTTCCCAGGGATGAGGACAGCAGGGCCTGCTGACATGTTTACATGCCATTCGGAACCAGTGTGCAGAGGGAAAGCCTGCTGGCCCCACATGCTGGGAACAGCCAGGCCCCTCCATGCTGCCCATCTTTGCCTTTGGGAACAAGCTCGTTTACATGTTTCTCTCCGGCTGTGCAGTGCCGGCACCAGAGTCTTGGGATTCCCTGCCTATGGTGCTGTAGGGCCCATGTTTCTGCCAAGTTGGGTATGGGGCTCTTAATGCTGGTGCCAAATGGAGAGCAAGTGACAAGTGCCAAAAAGAAGAGAGCAGTGGAGCTGATGGCCGTCCCCACAGACCTGGACTGGTCAAGAAGCAGGAGTCTACTTCTTGCAGACCAGTCTTTGGCTTGGTCCCTGATTGTAATGCTGTGACCTGGGCTCTGGGGAGCATCCTCCTTGGGTTTGGGTTTTTTCCTTTGCGGGGTTTGGTTGGGTTTTTTCCTCTCTTTGTCTCCCGATTCTGTTGGCAGGGAGTGGGGAGATGCCCGTGCCCCCTCTCTGGCTGTGTAAAAGTGTATCATGGAAGCGCCAGATTTGGAAATAAAAGTCTATAAAATGGTGCTGGCCTCTCTGCCATCTCTCCCTGTGCAGTGGATCCATGGATGGGGCAACGAGTGCAGCGCCTGGGCTTGAGCTGATGGTGGGAGGAGGCTTGGGTGGGAGCTCCCAGCCAGCTTGTAGGCTGAAGGGGAGTTGCCCGGAACAGGGTGAGGTGACCAGAGGACAGGGACTTAAGGTGCTGTCAGTTGCCTGAACTGGGCTGTGTCCAGGCCGGTTCACCCAGAGCTGGGATGGGGTGCAGTGGTGGCCAGTGGCCCCAGCACTGCCAGCAGGGCTGTGGTGCCACAGTGGCTGTGGTTAGCCGTGGGACCTGTGCCTGGCAGCAGCTGGCACCCCCAATCAGACCTAGACCAAGGGAAGAAGATCCATTGTCCAAAGGCTGCCTGACCTCAGCGGTGTCAAGCTGGGTGCCAGCAAGGAGAAGAAAGTGTGTGGAGGAGAGGCCAAGCGTAATCCTGATGCCCTCTGTCCCTCCCTTCCTGTTGAAGAGGAAAGAGCAGGAGATCGAAGGGCAGCATCGATCCACAGCACCCTGAGCAAGGGTCACCATCAATTGCCATCCCTCTGTCCCTCACAGGCTCCATCCTCTAAGCAGTTGGGGGCCAGCTCAGGGTGGCCCTTGGGAGTTGCAGCAGCAGTGCCAGGAGCTGTGGTCCTGTCCTGCAGGTCTTGAGGCTGGGGGGAGGGAGGATAAGGGCCGGGGAGAGCTGGCTGGGGTGGCAAGGGGGGGTCACAGATAGAGTGGCCAGCCCAGGGTGCAGGTCAGGGGCTGGACGCTGGGATGTGGGAAGGAATGGCACGGGTGGGGACAAGGAGCAGCGATAAGGAGGCACTAAATGACACTGGTGCTGTTTGCTTCCGAGCAGGAGCCCTAGGATGGCCTCTGATTCACTCTGCTGGGTGAGTGAATAAACAATGAGGAGGCAATAGTCACACAGTGCCTGTGTCAGCATCAGTGTGCCTTTACCTGGCCACGGTGGGACTGATGGGCATGTGGGTGGACGGCAGGGGCCAGGGATGTGGGAGAGGCTGAGGGAGCAGGCTCAGTCCTGCTACCTGAAAGGTGCATGGCTGCTGTGGGACCTGGGTCATGCTCACCACAGGGAGAGCCAGAGTGGCCATGGGTTACCCTACACCAGGGAGGGGGACGAGTTGCTCTGACTCTGGAAATTGTGGCCCTGGATGTCACTGCTTACTCTGCTCTCCAGCCCTATCCCACCACTCGGGGACCCAGGACTCTTTGATGCCTGGCCCTGCCCACTGCCTTCACCCCACACCCTGGTACCAGTCAGTTACCGGTGCCTGGATTTCCTCGGTCATGTCCCTATGGGACCGGGCCAAGCATGACTCAGAAGTTCTCTGAAACCAATTCTAGGTCATGATGGAGCCCAGGAAGGAATGAGGGGTTCAGTGGGACTCTGGTGCCCGCTGGGGACCTTTGGAACAAGATAACGGCTGGGTCTGTGCAAATTGTGGGAGAGCGGGGCAGTCCACAGGGCACAGCACACCTCTTCCAAGCAAGGTAAGCAAGGGGCTGTGGAAAATACTCTGGATGCTATGACCTGAGGCTGTGGGTAGCCCTTCTTGTCCTGGACAGAGCTCCTGCTCCAGGACATGGGGTGGGGAAGGGACACCCATGGGAGCTGTGGGAGCACAGGAGGAGGATGTCAGGACCTTGAGCAGTGCCCTGAGGTGATGAGTGCCCAGCAGCTCTTGGCAGGAGGTTGGCACTAGGATGTGCCCAATGGCAAGAAGACCACTGCTCTGCACCTGGCATGGGTGGTTGGGCATGGCAGCACCCTGGGTATGGCTGCAGACCAGGAGCTGAGACTGGAATGGACAGTCCCCAATATGGGATGGTTTTGGGGACAGTGGTGACAGTTCTGGGCCTGCCACAGCTGAGGAACTCAGCGCACCAGGGTATGGAGGGGAGCATGGTGGGTGCCATGGGTGCAGCAGTGGGGCTGGGAAGCAGGCAGCTTCTCGGCAGGGCAGGAGGAAGGGCAGGAGGAAGGACAGGAGTCAGGGAGCGGTGTCTCAAAGATCATGGGCTGGCTTTAATAAATAGGAGGAAGCAGAGCGTGCACCTGCCTGCCAGCTCCTGACCAGCTTGGGCACAGCAGGTAGGAGTGATAACGGGGCAACACAGGGACTCGGGCTGGCACAACTCCAGGCACCCTGTGAGGGGATTTTGGGTCCAGTTGTATCTCAGGACCAGGCAGGCCACCAGCTGGGTGAGCCCAGCAGGATGGTGCAGGTCTCAGCCTAAGCCCTGAGCAAGATCAGACTGTGGATCTATACAGAGATGCCTCAGTCCCACCATCCCAGCCCTGAGAAGGGTGAGACCTCAGCCCAGCCTCCCTCCTCTGACCACAGGCTCACCTCGACTCTCCAGTGCAGTGGTCAGGGGAGGACACTCCCAGAGACATGGAAAGCCGTGACTTTTGCCGGGGGTTCACATTCCTGCTCCCCTCATGCGCAAAGGGACAAAGTCTGCAGACGGGGCTGTGGGATGGCCAGGGCTCTGCTCGGCAGCTGTGCCCTGCCCTGCTGTGGTACACGGAGGGGAAGGGTGGTGGGCACCGAGGTGGGTCCTGCACGGGCAGGCAGAGGAGGAGCTCCCCTGGGGCAGCTCTGCTGGCAGACCCCGCCTGTGCATTCCATTGCGCAGAGGGGTCTGGTGCGGGGCAGGAGCAGGCAGCACTGATTGCCGAAGCCTCAGCTCCCTCCCTGCCCACCTGCCGTTGTGAGCCACTGCCGCTGCTTCAGGACTCCCAAAGCTCGGCTCATGCTTATCCTCAGGGCCAATCCTGCCTGCCTGGCCGAGATGGGATGGCTCTGTGTGGCGAATGGAGTTGGAGGAGGGGCTGGGGCGCGGGTGGGGTGCTGGGTGTCCCCAGCTATGGGGGTGTAGCTGAGCTGTCCCTGATGTCCCTGCAGTAGACTGGCATGCGGGAAGGTCAGGTGGGCATGGCAGCAGAGATGGCACTGAGCCACCGAGCACCCCGTGAGGTGCTGAGTGAGGCTGAACTGGAGGAGGTGGCACAGCGGAAGCCTCCCACCAAGCCCTCGGTGCGTCTCCGCAAGATCAGGTAGGACCATATGGCCAGGGGGATGTGCCTGGACCTCACCAGGCACTGTACAGCCCAGCCCCACCACCACGGGGAGCTGCAGACCTGGGGATCCTTTCCCCTAAGTTGAAGTACCCGTGTCCCTACTTTGTTCTCCTGACTGGAGGGACACCCGGCTCCAATGGATGGAGCTGGGTGTCCCATGGGACTCATTGCATCTCATGGGGCCCTGTCTACCCCTACTGATGTCCCCAAACCCCTGCACTTGTGCTCAGCCTCAGCTCCTACTCCTTTCCCTCCAGATGCACGGGCTCCGCTGCCAAGTCCCTGCTGTTCCGTTTCCTGCCCTTCCTGTACTGGCTGCCCCGCTACCCAGTCAAGGACTGGCTCCTGGGGGACATTACTTCAGGCTTCAGTGTGGGCATCATGCACCTGCCCCAGGGTGAGTGATGCCCAGGCTTCCAGAGGCTCCCTGCGGGTTGGGGAGGGCCAGGAGTTGGCCCTTCATGACATTTCTCCCTGCTCCACCATCCAGGTCTTGCCTATGCACTGCTGGCTGGGTTGCCACCCGTCACCGGTCTCTACTCTTCCTTTTACCCTGTCTTCCTCTACTTCTTCTTCGGGACATCAAGGCACAACTCTGTAGGTGAGCTGAGGGACCATGTGCTTGGACAGCAACGGTGGGGAGGGAGCGAGGATGAGAGGGACAAGTCTTCATCCGTGGCTCAGCATTGCCACAGGAATGGTTGGGGGGGGCCTTTCTTGCCTTTACTTTGCCCCATCAAGAAGGTGATTGGCCAAACCAGAGCCAAAGCACAGTGGGTGGGCTTTGAGCCTTGCCAGAGGGGAAAGGAGCTGACCCCTTAAGAGGTACCCTCAAAAAGGTCCTGGTGCTCACCTTGGGCTCCCTGCCCACACTCTACCTGTCCCCAGGTCCTTTCGCCGTCATCTCTGTCATGATCGGGAGCTTGACGGAGTCCCTGCTGCCTAGTGAGGACTTCCTGGAGTCCGTCAATGGCAGCAATGCCACAGTCAATGAGGCATTGCGGGATGCTGCCAGGGTGGAGCTGGTGGCCACCGTCACTGTCCTGGCAGGCATCTTCCAGGTAAGGTGGCCCCAGCCTAGTCTAGCAGAGAACAGTGGGCTGTAAGCTGTGGGTCACTTCTGGTACCTCTCCTTTCAGGTGGCCCTGGGTCTCCTGCAGTTTGGATTTGTGGTGACCTACCTCTCGGACCCGTTGGTGCGTGGCTACACCACTGCTGCCTCCGTGCATGTCCTCGTCTCCCAGCTCAAGAATGTCTTCGGGGTCTCCGTGGGCGAGTACTCAGGTCCACTTTCATTGTTTATGGTAAGTGGGGGCTCACTGCTGCCCAGAACCCCCTGGGGGCTTACCTGTGGGGCACATAGAGTCCTCCATAAACCTTCTGGGGGAGACATCTGATTTCCTGAGCACATTCCCTCCTTCTGTATCCTCTAGACTGTCATTGAGATCTGCAAGAAGCTGCCACAGACCAACGTGGGCACCCTGGTGACTGCCATCATTGCCATGGTGGTCATCTTCATTGTGAAAGAGCTCAACCACAAGTTTGCCGCCAAGCTGCCCATGCCCATCCCCATCGAGCTTATCACGGTACCCAGAGCTGCCCCAGCTTGCTGTGGGGATGCAGCCATGCATATTCCTGTCCCTTTCAGGGAGGGGAGGCGTGGGATGGGGTTCCTTGGCGAGTGCAGCTCCAGGGCACACATCATGCCCTCCTCCTCCTCGTCCTCCTCCTCCTCCTCCTTCTCCACTGTCCCTGTGCAGAAAGGCCCTGCCTCACTCCAGTCATTCTCCCCCAGATCATCATCTCCACTGGCATCTCCTACGGTGTCAACCTGAGTGACAAGTTTGGCATCTCCGTGGTGGGCACCATCCCCAGCGGGTGAGCAGGGCCAGGTGGTGGCGGGGGCTGGGCAGGGGCACAGCCACCCACAGCACCCCTGTTTGAGCCACATCTCTCTGTCTTGAATGTAGGTTGAAGCCACCTGTGGTCCCTAATTTCAGCTACTTTGGGCAGGTGGCAGGCAATGCCTTTGCCATTGCTGTGGTTGGCTATGCCATCTGCATCTCCCTGGGCAAGATCTTTGCCCTGAAGCATGGCTACAAAGTGGACAGCAACCAGGTGATGCTCTGAGGTGCAGGGCCCCCGCCCTGGGTGAAAGCCAAGCTTCCCTTTGCAGCCAGAGGAAAGCATGGTGCTGCCCTCCTGCTGCTCTGTCCCTGCAGGAGCTGATTGCGCTGGGCCTCTGCAACTTCCTGGGAGGCTTCTTCCAGTGTTTTGCCATCAGCTGCTCCATGTCGCGGAGCCTGGTACAGGAGACCACAGGTGGCAACAGTCAGGTGGGTCTGGGCAACACTGCCTCCCTCTGTGGGGCTGGAGCAGGGGCAGGCAGCACAGTGAGCAGTGGGGGCTCACCCCTCACCTCCCTCTCTCCTTCCACACAGGTAGCTGGTGTCATCTCATCCCTGGTCATCCTGGTGACCATCCTGAAGATCGGAGAGCTCTTCTATGACCTGCCCAAGGTACAACTAGTCCCATGGCCTCTGTGCCACATCCCACCCCTGTGCCTATCCCATGGCATGGTAGTGTGGCAGCGGAACAGCCAAAGCCCACTCCTAGACCTTCCCTCAGCTTCCTCATAGCTGCAGAGACTTCTCTTTTAGGCCATCTTGGCTGCCATAATCATCATCAACCTCAAGGGCATGTTTAAGCAGTTCAGTGACCTCAGTATGCTCTGGAAATCCAACCGAGTGGACCTGGTAAGGTGCTGATCAGCCTTGGGGCTGTGCTCTTGTCCCTGGAGAGGGTTTCTCCACCCTCCCTGAGGCTTGTGGGTGCTCAAGGGAGGCCATGCTGCAGCTGACCGTGTCCCCTCTCCAGATGGTCTGGATTGTGACATTTGTGGCCACCCTCCTGCTGAACTTGGACATTGGCCTGGCGGCCTCGGTGGCCTTTGGGCTGCTCACGGTCATCTTCCGCACCCAGCTGTGAGTACCCTGGGGCTGGGGTTGATGCTGCATCCCGAGGGCAGGAGAAGCCCGTGGTGACCTCAGCCCCTCACTGTGTTCCCCGCAGCCCCCACTACTCCGTTCTGGGGCGCATCTCCAACACCGATGTCTACAGGGATGTGGCGGAATACGAGATGGTAACAGCACCGGGCTGGGGGAAGAGCCACCTGCAATGGGGGGGCGTTCCAATGCACCCCCAGCGGCTGCTCACTGGGGAAAGGAGCTGGGGGCATTTTGGGGAAGGGAGGGAAGGGGAGCAGGTGGTTTCATCCCTGGGAATAGTACCCTGCCCATCTGCCCCCAGGCACAGGAGGTCCCTGGTGTGAAGATCTTCCGCTCCTCCTGCACCCTCTACTTTGCCAATGTGGAGCTGTACGCCGATGCCCTGAAGAAGAAGGTAGGAGAGTCACCAGCCCCACAGTGCTCCCCGTGTCCCCCTGCCTGCCAACACCAGGATAGCAGTGGGGCAGCTGGGGACACAAAGCTGCGCTGCTTCGCAGAGCGGCATCGATGTGGACCGCCTCATTCAGAAGAAGAAGAAAGCCCTCAAGAAGCTGAAGAAACAACAGAAGAAAGCAGAGAAGGAAAAGGCAAAGAGGAAAAAGGTGCTTCCCTGACACAGGGGACAGCTCTGGTGCCACCCAGCATTGCCTCTCTGCCTGGTTCTGGCCCTATTGTCCATGCACTGGCCAGGCCTGGTGGCCCACAGAGTTCCCAGCTCAGTTTGGGGCCAATGGGTAAGAAAGGCACTGGGATTGAACTGGGCCACACCGTCATACCCAAGGTCGGTGGGGAAAGCCAGGCTGTTAATGATTAGGTGGTGAAACCAGATAGTCATTAACCTTTTGGTAAGTTAATCAGAATTAAGAGCAAGAGCAAAGGTTGGCCTGATGCCAGCTAATGAGCCCGGTTCCAGAGAGCAGCAATGGGCAGAGGGGTGGGTCTCGACACATCTGGAAAGAGCCCAGAAGTGGGTCAAGGTGTGAGAGGGGCACCCACTCCTGGGACCACCCACTGCCCATGCCCTCATGCAGCCAAAGAGCCTCACCAAGCCACACTGCACTGTAGGGCAGTGTGAGCCCAGGGGTTCCAGCACCAGAGCAGTGACACCGGATCTCCTTCCCCCCCCAGAACACAGAGGATGGTCCAGGTGTGGCAGTGATTGAATTGAGTGCAGGGGAGAGCGGTGTGCCCTCAGAGCCCACCCTGCGCAGCCTGGGGCTGCCCCAGCCCAGCTTCCACGCCGTCATCTTGGACTTCAGCTCTGTCAGCTTCGTGGATACTGTCTCCATCAAGATCCTGAAGAATGTAAGGGCCCAGGGCAGCAGCCTCATCGAGGGCGTCTCCAAGGCCCTGTGGGGTGGCCCCCCCTCCCTCCTCCTTTGTAAAATATTTTCTGCCATTTGCAGATCTTCAGGGATTTCCGTGACATAGAAGTGGATGTCTTCATTGCCAGCTGCCCGGGTGAGGGGGATCTGCAGAGCCATGAGCCCCTGATGGGCATGGTCACCCCTCCTGCACACAGCTGCTGGCCTGGGGGTCCCTCCATGGTGTTCCAATGCCCAGGGTTTCCCCAGGGGATGGGTGCTGCAGGTTGTCCCATGGATCCAATCTGAGCGTGGGTCCCTAGTGCTGATCCTGGTGTTCCCCCACAACACAGGAGGCGGGAGGCTGCTTCAGGTGAGGGGTGGGGGGCTTAACTAGGTGCCATCACTTTAGATGCTTCTCCCTCCACACAGGGCCCGTGCTGGCCCAGCTGGAACGGGGCAACTTCTTCAGCTCAACCATCACCAAGCACTCCTTCTTCCCCTCCGTGCACGACGCCGTGGAGCACGTCAGCAGGGAGCGGCGCCAGGCCTCAGTGAGCACCCGGCCCCACCATCCCCATCACGGGTGGGGGGGAACGGAGGGGGCAGCCAAGCCAACCTCTCCCCATTTCATCCCCCTTAGGCGGACCACAGCACCAGGATGTAGTTGTGCAAGAGGAAGATGTCTCCCCCAAGAGCTGGGTGGGCGAGGAGGACTCTGCCACCTTGATGGCACTGACTCGCCCGCCCCAGGGCCCGAAGGCCCTGAACCCCCACCAGCCCCTCCGGACTCTGACCACCAGGGTCCTGCCCTGACTGTGACCCCCTGTGATGGGGCTGCTGCTGGCCGGAGCTGCTGCTGGCCCTCACACCGAGGGGCTGCCTGGTGCTCCCGCTTGGTGACCCACTTGGTGCTCCCACTCTGCCCCAGCACGGGCCTGTCCCGCCGGGCCAAGACGTGGTTTGGGGGGTGGTGGAGGGGCCAAGGGGGTCCTGCTGCCAGCAGTGGGCTGGCACTGCCAATAAAGCCATGTGGTGTTTCTCAGGGTTGGTTTCAATGCCCTTTTCTCAATAACAGCACTCTTGGGTCAGGCCACCCAGCTGGCCCCCAGCGCTGCCCTGCAGGTGGGCTGCCCTGACACCCTCTGTCTCTGTTCTGCCCCTTCTCCCCGTGACCCCTCCAGGGCCGTGGGGCTGCAGCCGAGGGAGTGGAATGAGCTGGTACCCCCTTTCCCCAGGATCCTCATTCCCAGGACCTCCATTCCCTGTGACCCCTGTCCCCCGGGCCACCATCCCCCAGGATTCCTGTCCCTGGGATCCCCATCCCCTGGGACTCTCATTCCCCTGAGACTCCCATTCCCTAGGACCCCTATACCCTGGGACCTTCATTCCCTAGGACCCCTATACCCTGGGATCCCCATTCCCCGGGACCCCCATTCCCTGCCCGCCACCCCCGCGCCCTGCCGCCACCAGGGGGCGCCAACCCGCCCCTACCGCCACCCGCCCGCGCCGCCCGCCCGCAGCGAGGCCCCCGCCCCCGCCGCGGCGGGTGCCGTCAGTCGGTCGGTCGGCGCAGGGACAAGCATGGCGGCGCGGCTCGGTGTTGCGGGCGGGCAGCCGCGGCCGGCGGCGCCTGCGTGGGGGCCGCGCCCGCTCCGTGAGTCACCGCGCCGCCGCGGCAGCGGCCGCGGGGGATGTCCGACAGGGCGCGGGCGGCCCCGCGGTGGCAGTGGTGCTGCCGCCGGGCCGCCTGTGCGCCGGCCGGAAGATCAACGGGGACCGCGGCGGGCGGCGGGGGCGGGCGGCGGTGCCGTGAGACCCCGAGCGCTGGAGCGGGGCTTGGAGCCGGGGGCTGGGCGGGCGGGGGGCGGCGGCGGCTGTCACTGTCTCCGTGCGGGGCTTGCCGGGGGCCGCCGTCCGCTCCACGCCCCAGTGCCGAGGTGTGACTTGTCAGCTGGGGCTTTCCCTGGAGTTTTCAACCTGCTCCAAACCTCTGGCTCCGCGGCGGGTTCCCGGCCCTGCCGAGGGGAGCTCCTAGCTAGTGGTCGTGACAGCCTTTGTCTTTTCAGGCAGCTTTATTGACTTTGACAAGGAAGCGAGGTGCTGCCACCTATGCCCAGACACTCCAAAATATCCCCGAGACTCAGGTCACCACCCTGGAGAATGGGCTCCGTGTGGCCTCAGAGGAGTCCAGGCAGCCAACCTGCACGGTAAGTTTAAGACAGGTGGAGGGCTTCCTTGAAGCCTGTATCTGGTCTCTAAAAAGTGACAAACCTTGTCTGAACCAAAGCTTTTGACAGTGACTCCACTGTTACTTTCTATGAACTGGTGGGATTAATGTAACAGCAGAAGGCCCAGCCTGGTGTTGTCTTAAATCTGTAGTCAAGCTTTCGTGCTCTACAAGTTTTCTCAGCCTTACATTTTTTGTGTGAGCAGTAAGTGATCAGTAGGAGTTCTCCCTCTGGCAAAACCAGCTTTGGTGAAGCTGACAGATAAAAAACCAAAACACACGCAGGAAACTGTTGCTTGTGTTTGCTTCTTTTGATGCTACTGGTGTAATGTATGGGTAGCAGACTTCTTGTCCCTGCTGCTGTGTTTGTGGCACGAGGATGCTGACTGTTTTCTTCTCTGATGTCACTCCCTGTTTTTGCTGCCAGGTGGGTGTGTGGATCGAGGCCGGGAGCCGCTATGAAAACGCAAAGAACAACGGGGCTGGTTTTTTTGTGGAACACCTGGCCTTTAAGGTAAGGAGGTGTGCTGGGCCTGCACAGAGCTGCGCCGAATGCTCTGTCTGTACGTTGTTGACTCTTATTTGCTATTTACTTGTCTTTCCTCTTAAAGTAAAAAATGCTGTAATTGATAATTCAGACAGAGTGTCTGACATCGTGGTTCCAATCCTTGGCTGTCCCAGCCTCTGTATAACACACCTGGAGCACTGTGGTACGAAGCATGTTTCCTCAGGTTAGCAGAGAGAACTCAAAGCAGTGTTTCTTACAGCCATTTGTTTTTCTTTGATTTTCTTAGCAGTTGAGGGAAGCTTAGGAGTTACAGCTGTTGCTTTTTAAATAACCTAAGTCTCTACTGAACAGGGCAGAGAACATCTAAGCCTGGGACTTGCTGACTTGAGTCCAGCCTGTGCCTTCATGGGCAGTTGCAGTATCTGGCTTGCTCCTTAGGAGATAAGATCTTAGAAGAAGTTTTCTGCTTCATCTGAGTTTCACTGCTTGGATAGTTAGACGCCTGCTTATTTTTGGTTTAGGCTTGTTCTTGGTTTACTTCCACAGATGTGCTCTTCAACCATTGTGTCTCTCAGTGTAAGTCTTCTCTTTCCCTGCTGAATTTATGTTGGTCTTTGAAAATGCACCTCAGCCATCCTTTATCTAGGGAAAATAAGCCAAGTTTTAAATCTCTTGCCTTCTGTGCTTGCTCTTGGCTTTTATGAATCATATGACAGTTTTTATTGCTTTATGTCTGTTGTTATTTTCCTTGCTTTAATTCTGCCTGGTGGGGGGAAAGTTGTTCATTTCATGATTTAGTTTATCTGTTTCCTTCTAGGGCACAAAGAAGCGTCCTGGCTCTGCCTTTGAGAAGGAAGTGGAGAGTCTGGGTGCTCACCTGAATGGGTACACATCCCGTGAGCATACTGCCTTCTACATAAAAGCCTTGTCCAAGGACATGCCCAAAGGTAGGATGGCCAGGGGGCAAAGTCTGATCAGGAACTTAAGGAAATGCGTGTACTTGTGTTTCTCTCCCCAAGCATCCTTTCTACCAACCAGGGATTGAAGTAGCTGAATGGTAAATTGGAGGTTCTGGTTGGTAGTTGAAGAGAGCAGTGCAGTGACATGGTGCTTCAGGGCTGCAAGTTCATGTGTTCCTAAACAAAGAGCTTTAGTTGTGTCAGGCTGCACTGTGTTTCCAGGAGGGAGGATGGGGGGGTTCAGGAGTCCGTGGTTGTTTTATGGAGCTGGGAAACTGAGGTCCGCAACAGCTGCTGTGTGAGGAGTGCTCATTGCAGCTCCTGTGAGTGCAGCTTGTGCTCTGCTGCCATGTGCAGACTCCTCTGGGTTGGTTTTGGCCAGAGGCAGCGATTTGAGTCAGAGCTGTGGGCCTTGCTGTAGATATGGGCTATGCTGTAGGTATCACAAGCCCTCTGTAGGGATTCAGTGTGTTTCTGGAGCAGTGCCCTGCTTCTGACATGCTTCACTTTCTGCAGATGTTGCCTGCTTTCCACTGGCAGTGATGATCTGACTTGAAGACTTCTTGCTAAACTGGTGTTGTTTGTGCTGTGGGAACAGGCAGCACTCAGCTCTTTTATGTTGCATCCCCTCCCCAGTGTGGTTTGTTGCTCACTCCTCCTCTGTGTCTCTTCTCCTTTCAGCAGCACTGGGTGGCAGTCAGGCAGTGGGGTGCTAACATGGGAATTGTGTTGCAGTTGTAGAACTCCTGGCTGACGTTGTGCAGAACTGTGCGCTGGAGGACTCTCAGATCGAGAAGGAACGTGGCGTCATCCTTCGGGAGCTGAAAGAAATGGACAGCAACCTGATGGATGTCACCTTTGATTACCTTCATGCCACTGCTTTCCAGGGCACTCCGCTGGCCCACACTGTTGAGGGGACCACAGAGAACATCAAGTGAGCAACAGGCTGGATGCAGGGCACAGCCCAGGGGTTCAGTCCATGGGGTGCATGACTGCTGCTGCTTGGTCGTGGTGACTGCCCGAGGAAACCAGTGTGTGCACGGAGGTGATCTGTGCCCATGGGGCTCTCCTTGTGCCCTGACTGTGTTTTCCTCGTTGGAGCTGGTGAAAGCATAATGCTGCACACATTCCTTAGAAGACCTAGTGCAAGGGACAGGTTGAACCTTCTCCCATGCTTGTCAATTTGACAGTTAGAGAAATTAAGAGATAGGGTGGTCATTGAAGCAGTGGCCTTGCATTGGGTCAGTGACCGGGCTCAGTACTCTCCAATCTGCATTGAATTTTATCCTTAACTCTTCATCTTCACTGCTGGTTCCCCTTCTTTGTGTTCTAGATTTAGAGCACGGGGAAAACACAGTGCACAGTCTTGTTTCTAAAACGTATTGTTTCTAAAAGGTATTGTTACCCCACAACAAAGAGAATCACTGCTGTCTCTGCACTGCAGACTTGCTTCTCCTAAGCCTCTCATTCCTCCAAGTCAGAGATGCTGACGTTCTCTCTCCGTGTTCTCTCTAGGCGGCTGACTCGAGCAGATCTGGCTTCATATGTTGATACTCACTTCAAGGCACCCCGTATGGTCCTGGCAGCTGCTGGAGGTAAGTTCTAGATCCTTGCGATTCTGGGAAGCCTTGGTATTTTCAAATACCCAAACCCCTGTCACGCATCTCTAATGTAAAATCAGATCATTTTGTTAAATTGCTCTAGGACTGTAAGTCTCTCTCTTTGCCGTTGCCAGGTATTTCGCACAAAGAGCTGGTAGATGCAGCTAAGCAACACTTCAGTGGAGTGCCTGTCGCATACAAAGAGGATGCTGTGCCTATCCTCCCGCACTGTCGCTTCACAGGGAGTGAGGTAAAGTTGTTTTGGTCCCCATCAAAACAAGCAGGTCTTGCCCAACTGTTGAATGAATGTGAAACCAATTACAGCTGCTTCTGAGAGGAAAAAAAATCTGTGTATCTTGGAGAAGCTGATGATGCAGCATCTTGGTAGTGCTCCCATGTTCTGTTCTTGGGGCTTATTGCCACGTGTTGGGTTTTAGATGGGACCCACATCCGTTAGGAATGAGAGGCCATTGCTCACATCATCTGCTGGAAAACTCACATCAGAGCAGTTTGTGCTCA